GAATTCCACATATCCTTGTGATACCGCACCTTTCCGCTATCGTCGAGTGACAACGAGACCAGAGAGTCGACTTCTTTGGGAGTGTTGACCAGCTTGGGAGTGTACTCCTGCCTAAGTTTGAAGACTATATCGGTTGGTGTGTCCTTGACAACTTCGACCTTTTTGGTTTCCAACTTGGCGAAGATCTTAGGGAGCCCATACCACTGGCCGGCGATTTTGTAGCGGGTGTCGCAATAGGACAGCGGATCGTCATATATCGCCTTTTCTGCATAAACCGACATATCCTTCTCGCTGCAACTTCCAGAGTAGAGATTTGTGATTGATGTGACTATGGCCTCATGGTCGGGTGATATCTTCAACGATTGTTCAGGGTGAGGTTCGTAGTCAACAGTCTGGCTGTCATGCCCAGTCAATTGACGGGCATCTGGATGAGGTTCGTACTTGGTATGGATATCTTGTGTGCTCTCTGCCATGATAGCTGGGCTCCGACACACAGTAGGTGCGTAACAGAATCTTCTGGGCCGGCTATTTGTGTTGAGTGAGAAATGGCTATATGAAGAATCATCAATCTTTACAGGAAGGTCCCTTGATGGGGAGGAAGAAACAACGGTCATGACGACATTGACTCTCAATGAAAGTCGCTGCACCGCGGGCGGCATATTCTGACCATGCAATATGTTTTTGGTTTCTACTCGATTGGTTCATCAGTCTATAGGGAATGAAAGGTTACCCACGGGTTCAGCAAACATCCAGCAGGTAAAATGAGCGGAAATGAAGTCGTGTAGGACGAGACATTCCTTCTTCGGACGGACTTTTCTGTACAAATTCACGTCTTTCTTGTCTCATCACCGGAACATCTTCCCATGCAACATGCAACGTGCAACATGCTTGTGTATCAAAATAGAGTGTCCCTGACCTCCACCTTCTCCCCGTCTCCTTAGTCAGATGGAGATTGAACCCTGTTCATATCTTTTTTATACCTCTGCATCTCACCAAATTGTGCCCAAAGAGCAGCAGGAATCTCGGCAACACGAGGCTCAGCACGCATTACCCCACCGTCCGCCCTGCAGGATCCGGGGACCCACGACCGATGTAATAACGTCCAAGGATCTATCGCAGTCAGGAGTCGCTCGTATCTCGTTCAAGAGACGGAGTTTCATTCATGCATATGATGAAGCACGGAAGACGAGGTCACTAGGAGGGATTTGTTCTGTGTGTGTGCCTCTCTCTCTCCCCCCCCCCCCCCCCTCCCAAAAAGAAGTCAACAATGACCAGTGGGCCGGTAACGCAAGAAGTGAGATTACGAATACGACGGGACCTTAACAGCGAAGTTAAGACCGCCGCTCCAGACAGACACGAGGCTGCCCTGCATGTATACAAAGTACAAGTACTGTGTGTACACAAGGACAATAAAGTGACGGCATAAGCGAAAAACCACTACCTTGGTGCTCCACATGCCACATGTTACAGGATGATCAACCGGCAATTGAGCGTCGGATTTAAATTCTTTCGACCAGATATCAGTCTTCTATCGCCAGGTGGATTATAGGGCCGCATGAAGAAAAAAGCTTAGCAGCATCAGTAACACACCACGAAGTTGGTTGTTTAAACCCGGTGAGGAAAAGTGTGACGAGCACAAGCCCATCTATGCCTGTTTATGCATGGCTTATGATGCGAAAGTTGCCAACGGGGCGGTATGCTAGAGACACCGACAACCAAAGCTAATGCTTCATCGGCCCAATGATATTGGCTTTTGGCGCGCAGTGCCCTTGTCCAGTACGGTTATCACGGCAGTTTTTCCTTTTTTCTTCTCCTCCTCCGAACCAGATTCTTCGTGACAAAGGAAATGTCGAGATGTTTCCATCACCTTTTCCCATGGACACACACCCAAAATCTCGTTGTCTGACGAAACAAAGACTCGAAATTCCCGGACGGGGGTGGCTCGTCATCCGACCACCGGACGAGCAGGAGATCGTGGCGGTTGAAGCGGATCGATGAACAATCTTGAAGTAAATGATGCCCGGTGGTAATAATGGTCCCTGGACAAACCTATGATCTGCGTGCCAGCACGGGTGGGAGATATGGTGTCTCGGCATAGTGTTGTGTTGCATCGATGCAAATCGCATTAATGAATCCATGATCCTCAACATCCCTTTTTAAAGACCTGCTCTTCCTTCTCCTACACACTGCTTTGCATCTCTGTCTCTCACACACAGTTTGTTGTCTGCAGGGTAAACACGTACCACCCCAGTCTCCCCAGCAGGCCGAAGCACCTGAACAAGGCTCACCATGTCCAACTCCCCAACCAACTCGTCCACCTTCACCCTCACAAACGATGTCGAGAGCCAGAAAAGTGGCCCTTCGAGTAAGAAGGTGCCGCATTGGCGCCTCGTGGCCAGCCAGACCCTCATCACAGACGAAGTCTTGAACCATCGATACAAGGGCTCGGGAACAGAGGAGGATCCCTATATTGTCGAGTTCATCCCCGGGGATCCTCGCAATCCCATGGAATTTCCGGATTGGAAGAAGTGGGCCCTCACTCTGACTGTCGCTTTTGCAACTCTGGCCGTGGCGTTTGTCTCCACGGCATACACTGCCAGCATAGTGCAGCTCATCGATGCCTTTGATTGCAGTCAAGAGGTCGCAACGCTGGGGGTATCTCTTTTCGTGCTGGGCTTCGCTATTGGACCGCTTCTCTGGGCGCCGTTGTCAGAGCTGTATGGCCGTCAAGTCCTCTTCTTCGGCACATACGCCGTTCTTACCGTATTCAATGCGGGCGCAGCTGGCGTGAACACGATGGCAGGTGTGCTCGTGATGCGATTCTTTGCGGGCACTTTCGGCGCTTCTCCTCTCACCAACGCCGGCGGTGTCATCGCCGACATATTTCCCTCCAGTCAACGAGGCCTGGGAATGAGCATCTTCGCTGCCGCTCCCTTCCTGGGTCCTTGCATCGGTCCCGTCGTTGGAGGCTTCATCTCTGAGACAATCGGGTGGCGTTGGGTCGAGGGTGTAATGGCCATCTTCACGGGGTGCCTTTGGATCTTCGGCACCTTGGTCATCCCAGAAACGTATACCCCTGTCATCCTGTCGCGCCGAGCCAAGGCACTGAGCAAGCGAACGGGTAAGGTCTATATCTCGATTATCGAGAGACGTCAAGGCAAAGTCACGCCTCAGGCCGCCTTCTCCAAGGCCATCTCGAGGCCATGGGCGCTGCTCTTCCTTGAACCAATCGTCCTTCTCATCTCCATATATATGGCGATTCTGTACGGCACGCTGTATATGCTCTTCGGTGCTTTCCCCATTGTCTTTGAAGAGGAACGAGGCTGGTCGCAGGGCATCGGTGGCCTGGCCTTCTCCGGTGTCGCGGTCGGAATGGTCTCGGGCACCGCCTACGCCATCTGGGACAACAAGCGCTATGCCCGCATTGAAGCAGAGCATGGAGGAGAGGCGCCCGCTGAAGCACGTCTTCCTCCTGCCGCTGTGGGAGCCATCGCCATCCCCTTGGGCATGTTTTGGTTTGCATGGACCAACTACCCTTCGATCCACTGGATTGTCTGCATCATCGCCTCAGCGCCCTTCGGTTTCGGCATGGTCAATGTCTTCCTCGCGTGCATGAATTACCTCATCGACTCATACACCATTTACGCCGCGTCAGTGCTGGCGGCCAACTCGGTCCTGCGATCCCTGTTCGGCGCCGTCTTCCCCCTCTTCACCGTCCAAATGTATCACAATCTCGGCATCCACTGGGCCAGTTCGATACCTGCGTTCCTGGCACTCGCCTGCGCCCCGTTCCCGTTCATCTTTTACAAGTATGGTGAGAGCATTCGGATGAAGTGCAAGTATTCCGCCCAGGCACATGAAGTGATGCAACAGATCAGATCGCAGAACAGGCAAGGTCCAGTGCCGGTGGAGGAGGACGAAGACGACCACCAACAAGACCAACAAGAGAATGAGACCGAGAAGGTCAAAGAGAAGACTGAAACTCAGACATAGTTTCTGGCACTGGATCTCCTTTGTTGTAAGGGGATTCACGACAAACGACTGATTTGCTTTTGAAAGGATATCGACATCCTGTTTACATTGGCCGGTCTAGTGATCACTGGTCGGTCGATGTTATCTTCGCCATCTTCTGGTGATGTCATGTTATACCTTCTCTTTAACCAACAAGCGATGGCGTTAGGGAGGGAGATTTGTTCCAGGGATGGATACATTGTGGGAATTGTCTGCACGGTCATGTCAGCTTTGAGAACCCTGGGCCTTTTTGTTGTTTTTCCCTGTGCGCTGGCGCGAAGCGTTTGGCAGGGGTTCTGCATTTGCAAGCGATGGATAAAGGATGGATTTACTAGACACGGCAAAAGTGTCAATATAGAACGGACTCGAAACTCATTATCAATATATGGAAGCGTGTGCGGGAAACAGGGCGGCAAAGGAGGGAAATAAATGGTCCTTGGCACTTGGTACCAGGTACCGAATACACAAGAACACGAAACAAGAATTTTAGTAATTGAAAACGAGGAAGGGAAAGAGATACTTATTACAGGTTATAGACGAGTTGATGTACCGAGTAATGTGAGATCCTTTGAAGGATCTTTTTTTTGTGGCTGCTTACTCTTATGTGTTTAGTATCATCCCGCCCCTCCGTCTCGTCTGGAAGGAGGTTGTCGACTTTGTCATTTCCCTACCTAGTAATATTATTACCCAAGTAATGATATGTACGAGTACCTACTCGTAGTATGATACGAGTCGTTGGGAATCAGGCATCCCATATCCCATGCCATGGATGGGGTTCAGCGGATCCGTTTTCTTCCCCCGACACACGGGGCTCCCCACAAGGTTGCAAGGCTCCGAAAAGATTGAATCTACCTACCTACTAACTATTCACTATTCCATCCGCGGGCGGGCCTTAGGCGACATGATCTTGGTCGTCCTCGTCCCGGTATAAAGTATAGGGATCATGACCGGGCGATCAGGCCGACAACCGGGGCATACTCGTATGATAGTTATAGTCTACTCGTAGAAGCATCCGCGCCCAGGCCCTTAGCATTGTCTTCGCTTTCAATCTCGTCCAGATCTCGCTGCAGAATCGCCCATGGTTTCCTCGCGCTGTCGTCATCGGGTCCTGGGGGCGGATCGATCCCGCCGACCATGTCTTGGAGGTACTTCAGCACTGCACCGCGCATGACCACGAGCCTTGCCCTGCGCGTCTCCTTGGTCGACCCCGAAATGTCGTGCACCGCATGGGGGATGATGGCAGAGTGAGGAGACAGGGTGGCCTCGGCGCTGGATTCAAGCGCCACCTTCCAGCGCGAGAGCAGATGCGCTTTATTCACGGTCGGGGGAATACTCTTGTCATCGGCGCCCTGCAGGACTAACAGACTTTTCTTCCCCACCTGGCTTGAAGGCTTGAAATGCCCTGCGGCTCCAATGCGGCCAAACGTCTCTCGGAGTCTCTGGTCAGACAGGTCGCTGGAGTAATAGTCGTCCATTCCTGGGTTCTTTGGCGAAGTCGGTGACGCCAAGCTTAGGAAGCGGGAAATGGTCACTGCAGCAGAGCCGAAAATAGGTGTGGTGAGGTCCATAGGCAGAACCGTCGTCTTATGCTTCTCTTTTGGCGTCGAAGAAGCGATTTGTAACATTGAATCGTAGCCTTCTTTTGCGGCTGCGGACTCGGATGTGGCGTGCAAAATGGCTTCGCGGTCCGAGACGGGCGCCTGTAAGATGGCGCCGGAAATGGTAGGACGCGGAGAGGAGGTCGCCACGGGAGAAACGAGATAGTGCATGAGGTCTTGACAGCCGGTGGAATGGCCCATCAATACCACGGGCGTCGAAGGAGATTCAGTGATGGTGTCTCTGATGTATGTGATGGCTGCGGCAATTTCCTCGACCTAGACACATTTCTCAATCCACGTCAATGAGAAGCCAATCTCAGGGAAGTTCCCACGTCTGACAAGTATTTCAATAGACAGACAGACAGACAGACAGACAGCCTTGTATGGCTAGGTACCAATGCCCTCTTTGAGGAGATGATTACACCAACAAGAAGATGATACAAATCGCACTACTCACATCACGATCCAGATCGAACAAGCCCCAGCTCCTCCCATTGCTTGAGAGCTGTACCTGCATCACCCTCCATGTCTGGTCGGCAACATCTCGAGGAAACAGCGCGGCCAGGTCATCGACGTAGCGAGGCGAGCGGAAGTTGTCGTAGAGGCCGCCTACGAAGAGAAGGACATTGGGAGGGGAGGCGAGTGGTTGGGGAGAGGTCTTGTTGCTGGTATTCCTATACTCTAGAAGGAGAAGGGTCCGTTTCGGGTGGTAAGTGTGAATGATGGTCTCCATTAGTACTCGTATTGGAGGGACATAGTACTTTTCAATTTGTATTGAATGTTCAGCACTCACACTCACTTGGTTGCGTGGTTGCGTGGTTCGGTGTTGCGCGGAGCTCAAAGGCTGCGTTCGATGACACAAGGATGTCCCTGCGTCATTGGCTGCTTACATCCGGTATCGGATTGTGACTTGAAAAAGCCAAAACCCTCGTCCAGGCAATTGCCAGGTTCTTTTTCATTATTACATGGTATGTGTCTTTATTGTTCCTCCCTACTTATCATGGCAATAACTGGTGCTCTGGTTCAGCGACAAGGCACACTCGGGTGACTCATCCTCTGGACTCAGGAACTCGGTCCTCGGTCCGCGGGAAGCAATTTGATCATTTCATTACGATACTCGTTTGATTCCTTTCTTGCCATTGTCATATCTGAAACACAGCTGCTGGGCTCGCTCTAGAGGGTGCCTCAAAAATAACCTTGATGGCGTCCGACTCGCAAAGGACCAACACGAGCTGTGACACGGCGAGGATTGCAGAAAGGAGAACTTCGTCCGAGAATCGCTGTTCCGAGTACCTCAACCACGCAACCACGCAAACCAAATCCGAGGCTTGCAGACTCTTGCCCCGCTGAATACGAGGTAACTCGTACTTAGTAGTCGAGACAAATTCTGCGCAGTGCCCCTTGCAGGCTTGCAACCCTCTAACTGCTCGTATCTGCGCGCTGGTTCTGCAGCTCAAGGGTCAAGTCTCAGGTGCTCCAACAGAGGTCACACTTCATTTTGGTCTGGCAATTAAGACTGGTGGCAGGCTTCACATGTCCCTCTAACCACGACAGTGACTTCTTAGCGGGACTAATTGAAGTCCAACTCCGTAGGTCAGGAGCTCAAGGTTCTGGCCCTCCTGACAAGCCAATGCAGCCCCAGTCGACCCTAGTCCAACCGCCACCGCCCGCCTCCCCCGTTGCCCAGAAAGGGCGAGGAGATCAAACGGATTGCAGGGATGGACCCAGTAATGTGCGAAAGAATAGGGTTTCTTCCGACTTCCGAGGTCGGTGGGTATTTCTTGGGCAGAACAGAGAACCATAGCGAGAAGAACGCGCCGAACGAGACAGCTTACATTCCCATTCCAGACATATACCTATCCACGTCAACCGAGAGGCTACGAGTATGCGATACTTCGGATATTCGGCCCTCCTATTTCGCAAGTCAAAAGCTGGGGTAACCGAACCGCTGTTGATAAGCATACACCGTCGGGAAATTCCCAGCTTGAGCTGCTGAGCTACAAAAGCTAAACCGCAGTCCTTTACCAGGAATGCGGAACAGACACTCAAGCCATCATGCGCGTGGAAAGACGGTGTCTGTTGGCCTTGTCATGATTGACATAATTGACTAAAAAACCAGTCGCTTCAAATTGTGTCTGGCGACGCTTCCTAAAACAAGTTACCACACGGCTCTACCATCCTAAGTCCTCCTTAACTTCAGCCACCTGTGTTAGCAAAAAGTCTAACCCATATACCTCCAATCGTTCCATTACACTGAGCCTCGACGAGTACCGGGATGCTCGCCCCGACATTGGACGCTCCTGCTATCACTAGACACCTCGTATTCACAAAATTCCTGCGAAATTATTCCCCCTCTGTCCAAAACTTGCGCCCTCACTCGGCCTACACCCACTGAATGGGAAATCCCCAAGCCCTTTTCCAAGTCTGCCTGAGAGCTCCCCCAAAGCCGGTGTCAAATTTGGGCGCGGCTCAAGAGATAGCACAGATTGCTCTGTCTCTTCTGGTATGCACAAGACAATATGCTCAATGCATGTCTTTCGACACGATGAGGCTGCGCACCTCTACAGCAGCGGAGCTTCTCGCACCTCATCCCTGGCTCAAGTGTGTACATGGATTAAGCGAATCTATACCCACCATGGTCAACGGCTATCCCGCCAAGGTCTGCAACTTTGCTGGAATTCGAATCGCTAGTTTTCGTGTGGAGAGAGCGAGAACCAATACCCCAGGACCTAAGGCGAGTTGCATTCCCTCACAGAACAAAGCACTCGGTCTACATACATTGTCACTCGGAAATAACGGATGTGAAGCAGTCCTTTCCTGCAACTATGGCTACTCCTCACAGGTAACATGGGTCTGTCGTTTCTATTTGCCAGAAACGGTCATCATCAAGGAAGCTAAGAGGAGATCGGGCATGCAGCTACAACCGGGTTTGTCGTTTAGTTACTGGTCTGGTTCCTTCCCCTTGCAGCACTTCACCTTGGACTAAGCCAACGGCCACGTTTGTCTAAAATACGAGGCTCAAATCACCAAACACTTTTGGCCTCCTCATGAAGCATGTGCCTGGCGGGGGTTCTGGAAAACTGCTAGCCTACACGACTAACACAAGCCCATGACCCTTGCCCCAACCTCACTAAACTGTCACGAGTCAGTCCACTCAAGACTACTCGGTATTCAAGAACGATTTGCTTGTTCGCATCATGTCATTGGCGCCTCTGGGAGTGGCAACAGGTCAGGGGTGCTTGGTAGGTGAGAGTAGTCGGGTTTCGCTACTTGGTCTGGCTCCGCCTAGGAAACCACTCATGAAAGCGAGGCTTGGAAACCTGGCCATGGCCTTCCCAGATAGCTCGTCTTTGAACATCATATATGGCCGTGCCTGATACCTCCCTCAGCCCAATGAATCTATTCCTTCTACCCGCACTTCGCAGGACCCCAGGCCTCTCGAGTTCCCAGTACTCGAAAACATGTCATTGGAAACAATGATACTCCTCAAACGAGATGCAGTTGATGATGGTGCCCCCAATCCCCGGGGCGACACTGTGGTGAATGTCAATATCGCGCTGGTGGTTGTTGCAGGAACACTCGTCATTGCACGATTCTGGACCCGCATTGTCATCAACCACATGCTTGGTTTGGATGACTGGTGTGTCCTGATGGCCCTGGTAAGTAACTTGACGTCTCGTGGACCAGCTGGTGACTCTTGAAAACTAACTGGCGTCAACAGTTTATTGCCATCACCATGACTGGGCTATTCTACGGCGGTACGCTCAACCCTTTCTGAGACGTGAGTCATTGAAGCTGACAACCAATTACCACAGAGACAAAGAATGGTTTCGGTCTCCATCAAGACCAAGTCAACGAGAAACACTTTTTGCAAGCTTGGAAAGTGAGTTGTGACCAGTCAAAGATCCCGAGGAACGATCCAAGAGCCATGCGAACATGGACTAACCATCCCAACAGTACTTCCTATCGTGCCAGGTGCTATACAAGGCTGCCGCTCTCTTTGCCAAACTGTCTATGCTGTTCCTCTATCTGCGGATCTTCTCGTCGTCTCGCAACTTCCGCATTGCTGCTTATATTGTCATGTTCATATGCTTCGGCACGGCCATTGGGACCATAATCCCAACAATCTTTGCATGCCATCCTATTCAAAAGGCATGGACCCCAACCTTGCCTGGCACCTGCATCTGGACTCCTGGAATCTGGTACTCTAGCTCCTCTATCAACATCGCCACAGACGTCATGATCATCGTGCTACCAATTGCTCAAATCCGGTCGCTCAAACTACCCAAGGCTCAGAAGTTTGGGTTGGCTCTCCTCTTCAGTTTGGGGTTTTTGTAAGGCCATTCGCTTCCAACTCTGCTATCCGGATATATAGCTGACAGATCTCTAGCATCATTGGAACCTGTATCGTCCGCATCGCTACGCTTGGTCCGGCAGCAACGGCAAAGGACAGCACATGTAAGCACCATCGTTCCCTTGAGTACAAACCTGCTAACCCTTTTGTCTAGACTACCAAGCTCAGAATAATTTGTGGCTCGGCATTGAAGTGAACACGTCCATCATTTGCACCTGCATTCCACCTCTGAAGGCCACAATTACCAGATTCTTCCCGAAGATCTTCCGCGGCTCGTCCTACAATCGCCCGTCAACCATATACCGAACTAGATCTGGAGCATACCCGCTCACTGACAGCTATCATGGATCATCTATGAAGGGGGGCGCCTCATCATTTCCGAACCCTGCCTCACCTACCAAGGGGTTTTCGACGACCGTCATCAGTGGTGGCGGGCCCAAATCATACCCCATTAGTGAATCAAATAGCGACGAAGTTGTCATGCTGGATGATATGGGGAAAACAGGAGCAGACGGCCAAAGACCCAAGCGAAGAGACGATATTCGGAAACAGACCGATGTCGAGATCTCATATCTGGAGGTCTCTTGAACAAGGCGATTCTGGTACGGGCTGTACAGGGGACGAATATTGCTATCAGCGTGTGTGCTGCGGCGGTAGGCAGACCCGGCGACACGCACGATGTTGACGTTGAATCATTGATGTAATAGGGGTGGCGGTTTTCGTTTATACAGTTATACAGTCGTTAGTTATTTGATTGCAAGAGTGGAAGTCCAGGGTGATGAACACATGTACGATAGGAAAGACACAGGGGAAACAACAACAAGAGACATCGGAAAATCCTCCTTTGACTGCTCTGACAGACACCCTCGCGAGCCATTCCAGCATCTGTGAGTCCCTATGCAGAGCTCAGGACCATCTAAGTTCAACTCGGATCTATCGTGAAACCCACTCAAACAGAATTCGTCGAGACAAGGCTCCTTAACCAAGCCAGTCTGCCATGTCTAACGGATCTAATTCTGGATTCCAGGACCCATTTATTCCCTAGAAGACTACCAGAAGCTCAGCGGCGGTGTTCTACATGGGTATTATTCTTGACCGTCAATAGTGGACTGTACGGAGAAGGTTTGCCACGACCTTGCGAGAGCAAGCGACCGTATCGAGCGGCACAGGCTTCTTTTCACCGGCTTCATCCTCCGGTGTTTCGAGCCGACCAGCCAGCCAGCCCCAAGATTGTGGCGCCCTCTGGACCACGCTACCAATGCTTACTCACTGCGCCGACTCGAGTACCTGTTGCTCATTCCAGAGGCCCCGAAAACTGTTCATGGTCTTCGCTGACGACGACTCGTTCCAAATTTCCCCAATTTTACGTTGTTCGCTCGGCTCGGATTGGCAGGGATCTCTTGACCCATATGGCGCAGGTCTGGGGTCGCTCGAGGGACAGAGGGCAGAGAGCTCGACTCTGGCGCAAACGGCCGTATCTGGCAATCCGTTTGAACTCATTATACTCGGCGCCTCGACTTTGTGTGCGATGCATGGTGCGTGTAGGTATTGAGGATCTTCCCCCCCTATTGCATCCATATACAGGACGTTGTAGTGGCTGCTTTAATATGTTCCGAGCACCACTTAAAGCGGCTTGTTAACCTTTCCCTTTCCGCCGCTCAACAAAGTCTGCGCTTCATTTCTGTTCCATTCAACTCAATCGAGTCTTTTGTTTGACGACAACTAACTAACCAACTAAGTAATTGACCTTTGCTACCGCACAAGAGATTCCCGGACTCTCACGATGTTGCCATTAGTGGCCCTCTGCTATATTCTCAGCCCTGTGCTAGCAGCATCGCTCCGTGTTACGGTCACACCCTCGAATATTCTCCCAAACCCCAATGTCCTGCCAGCTTCAACGCATGCTGTCTTAACGTCAGGCTCTGGACCACCGATCAGGGCTGTCCTGCGAAAGGGCAACTACTTTGAATTTCCCGAAATCTCCACTTCCGGGTCACATCTCCTCGACATCTACAGTCACGACTACGTCTTCGCACCCTACAGAATCGATATATCCCCCTCATCCGACTCTGACGGTACCGTGGTTGCAGGAGCTTGGGAAACATACCGCGGAACACGATGGGACGATCGAGGAGTTGCCCTGGTGGCCGCACCTACAGGGCAATTAGACATGTCGGCCAAGATTCTATCGAAGAAGAACTTTTACGAACAGCGCCAGGGTTTCAATCCCTTGAGTCTTTTGAAGAATCCAATGATCCTCATGGCGGTCGTGGCTCTTGCTTTTACGTTCGGGATGCCCAAGTTGATGGAGAACATGGATCCCGAAATGCGCGCCGAGTATGAAGAGATGCAGAAAAAGAGTCCCATGGGTGGTCTGACGCGAGCCATGCAGGGTGGAGGTGCTGGGTCTGCAGCGGAGAACTTTGACCTCGCTGGCTACCTAGCGGGGTCTGGCAAAAGTACGGGCACTGACCGAAACCCAGACAGTATCCGCGAAAGAAAGCGATAGACTGCGCTTTGCCGGCCTCCCCTGGCTGGGCAGATTGGTCGGAATGGCTCGCTGGAATACCTTATGTACGAGAATGGCCGCAGCTCTGCAAACCACCAAGGATCTTCCGTTACCCTCCAGATGTAATCCGGAGCATTGAGACCACACCTCATTCCGTGTCGCAGATACCCTGTACCGCGCGTTGAAAGTAAAAACCTCTAACGAACAAAGCTCAACAAATACTTGAGAAGATTACGTGAGCGGACCTCGTTCAGAAGCGTCTCAGCATCAACGAGCAGTATCTCCTGTGTTGTTTCGATGCCGTCTGCTCTCGATACGGCCAGCAGCGGGATCCGAGCTCCCGGTCCAAGATCCTATCACAAGGGTCCCTGTGGCTCTCCCCACTGTACCCAGTACGACCCCGCCAATGCGACCCTAAGCCTGATCCCTCCTACGACAGTGTGTACAGACATGTTGCTCTCGAACAGTAATATCAGGCAGTGATGCAGCGATAGCGACCCATACACGGCCAGATTAGCCTAGTCAATGCGCCAGAGTGTGCCCCGGCTGACGACCAACTATACCGCAGCACACTACAAGTGACAGCTCGGGAAGGATTGTGTTAACAGATCGCGAAACATGATTGGGAACTACTTGACGATCAGCACTGCCTAGGTCCAATCCAACCAGGGACGCCACTGCCACTATCAAGCACTAAATCTGGAAAGGCATATGTTCTCCAGTACTGTTACTTCCATCTTGGGTCTTTAAGCACGCATGTCGCGCCTCATGAACCACCTCAAGAAGCCCACTCACTGGACGCATCAAATCCTTTTCACGGCCCACTGTCGACAACGTCTAATGATTTCTCATATTTTGACATCTCGCAGCCATCACTCCGGGTGTCTAACCGAACAGATCCTTCGACTTGGGGAGTTCAAGCAGAGTCTGACGGACAGGATCCTGTACCTCGTTGCAGCACGCACCGACATCCTCCTTACCGCCCCTACGGCCAAGATGTCAGACTTTGGCTGACTTTCTGGACATTTGGAATATCCGGGGTGCTCCAGGTCTAGGAAATAAAATACGAAGGCCGTCCCGCCGTTGCAACTGTCTCGTTCCATTCTTCCACTACCCCTCGCTTCTCCTCATTTCTTCGGTTCCTCCCCGGCCCTACCCTCGTTCTCGCTTCCATTGGCGCTTCTTGCGAATGCTCAGTTGTTATAATTACCGACATCTAACGAGCCGCAGAAGCGCTTTTCGTGAGCTCGCTTTCCTCTGACATCTTCCTCATCACCGATCAAAGGCACTGGCGATAACCCGAGGCAAACCATGGAAGCCCAACTGAGACCATTATTGGAAGCTGCTGTCAAGGACAAGAAGGTACCAGGGATCGGGTGCTTCATCGTCGACTCCAAGGGCAATTACTTGCTCAAGGAGACCTTGGGAAGCTCTCATCTTCAAGATCCCGACGCGGCTCCATTCGACGCAGACACCCTGGTGACATTCTATTCATGCACCAAACTTCTCACCGTGATTGCCACCTTACAACTGCTCGAACAAGGGAAACTCTCCCTCTCAGATCCGGTGGAGAAATTCGTGCCTCGAATCTCGAAGCTGGAGGTGCTTGAGTCTGTTAAGACGGACGCAGATGGCAAACCCGTACCCGTCTTGCGCTCACCAGCGTCAAAACCTACCATTCAGCATCTCCTGACCCACACATCTGGCCTCTCGTACGACTTCTTCGATCACGGAACACTGGCATACCGCGTGGCTACCGGCCGCCCTCCCATGCAGTACCACGCAACCGCTGAATGGGAAGATTATGAAACTCCGCTACTGGCCGACCCAGGCACCAAATACGTGTATGGTATCGGCATCGACTGGCTTGGTTTCGTTGTCCAGGAAGTGTCGGGCCAACCTCTTCCAGATTATTTCGAGGAACACATCTGCAAGCCCCTAGGCATGCACAACTCAAGCGGCAGGATTCCACCAGGGAACAAGTTTTTGCTGGTCCATTTCGACGCACCCGACGGGCTTGTAGGGGTCCCGGATGCGAAGCACAACGAAAATCCCCCTCTCTGGGGAGGTGGAGGGTTTCTCTACACGACGATGAACGACTACGCGAAACTACTGGTGACTTTGCTAAACGACGGCACATCGCCCACCACGGGCAACTCGATCCTGAAACCCGACACGGTCAAAGGCCTTCTTTTCAAGGACATCCTTGGTCCAGAAGTCGACCGGTCTGGCGTGGGCGAAGTCGGCACCAGCGTCCCGCAAGCCTCGCTCGAGGGTACGTTCCTACCGTCCATGCCGGTCGAGAAACGGGGCTGGTCTGCCGGTCTGCTCATCAACCACGAAGACCTACCCTACGGTCGCAAAGCCGGGTCGGGCGCGTGGGCCGGCCTCGGGAACTTGTACTACTGGGTCGACCCGGCGACCGGGATTGCCGGCATGATCTGCACGAGCATTTTGCCCTTTTTGAATCCGACC